GGCGCCAGCCCTACCGCTGAGGCGAGGATGCGCCGGCTGTGCCGTGGGAGCAGGGGGGTCCCAACGTGGGTCACTTTGTCCCAGCACCGCGCTGCCCTCCAAGCATGCATGGCCCAGAGCTGGGAGACCTGGGAAGCGTTGAAAAGGCAGGGCAGTGGGGATGGGGGATCCAGCTGCTGGGCATTTCTGCTGGGTCTGCAGATGGCCTGGGGTGGGGGGAAGGGGTGGGTGGCCCGGCAAGCCCCGCTGCTCATCCCAGCTGCCAGCGGCTCCGGCAGGGTGCCCAGCCTGTGTCCCATCTGCTACATGCTTCTGGCCACAAACAGCTTCTTGCATCTTGCTGCCCGGCAATATTTCAGGGTCAGAGGAAGAGATCTGCCCGGGGGGGGTGGCCATTATGTAAAGTGGTTGGGTCTCTTCCAGTCTGGGACAGACACGTCCTTGCCCCCAGAGCCTGGCGAGGACACAGCCTTGGCGGAGCTCCTGCGCCAGCCCTACGGCACAGGGCAGGGTGTCCTGTGTCCCCCCTCCCCGGCCCCCTTCTGCAACTGGCTCCGGCAAGATATTTGCCTGCAGGGTCAGGATCGGGCCCAGAGGGGTTGATCTGCTTTAATGTGTGGCTGTAAGTGGATTTCTTGGAGAGTAATGCTTAAATAAAAGGGGTTATACAATGTGATTGGAGCAGGGGGTTGGGACGGCAGAGGCAGAAGGTCCTTTCTCCACTGGCGTTTCTATGACAGCAGTCAGCGCTCCTCCGGTGGTGAAGACACTTATTCATCGCCCGCTGCGAGACAAGTGCCAGGGGTTCAGGGTGTGCCTGGAACCAAAGGGCTGAGCGGGCCGGCAGATCCTGGTGTTGGCAGCAGAAAGCAGGCCCCTTTATGCAACCTCCCGAGGTGTCTGTCTCGTACCCTGCACACCCGTCCTTCAATGCAAACGCACGTGCGCGGATCTCTAGGGCTGTTTGCCAAATTGCCAGACTTTGGCTGGGGGGTACAATGACATATCTCTTTGTAAAAAGCTTCTGTGGGTACAAAGAGGAAGCGTTGCAAGCTCTGTCCTCGGTCTTCCCTGCATGCACCGTTCCCTGAAGGACAGGGGAAGTCTGGCTTAGGGCAAGAAGGAAATCACAATCACAGCCACAGCTCTTGTAAACCTGTGCTTGCAGGGGCTGCTTGGGCTCAGGCACGTGGGTAGTGCTTTCAGGATGTGTTTTCCAACTCCTGAACTGATTTCAGGCTGCACAACTTCTTGTGGGCTCCCCTTCACTTTCAAACATAACCATTGATAAATGTTCAGCCCATGAGAATGGAGTTGTTCTGTGGTTAAGCATCGCATGATGGGCCGCTCAGCGCAGCCCACAGAGCAGCTCTTTCTGCTTGGAAGAAAATAAATTGTCAACTTTTTATCTTCTGTTTTTCTAAGTGGGGGGAAAAAAAAAAAATGCACTGTAACGCGTAACACAGGAGGCCTCCCGACACGCCTGGAGCCGGCAGGCTGGGGAGCACTGTCAGTCACTCATCAGCTGCCGGGGCCGCCAGCTGGCTTACGTCCCTAATGTCTAATGATATCATAGATCAAAAATAGCTGCAGCAGAAGAGAAATGCAGAATTCATAACCCTATTTTACACATCTTGTTTTCACCAAATCAGTCACTTTATTGCCGGGCTGTGCAAGTGTTCAAATGGGTTTGCCCTCATGGGGGATAAACCTCTAGACTTTGTACCCGTTTGTTCATCTCCACCTGTTGTTAAGGGCTGGAATATTTTGTCTCTGGATGCGTGCTCGCGGCGGGATGGGGTACCGAGCAGCAAGTTCCCATGTTTCCTGACTTGAGCCCTACAGTGGTGGCTAACATTATAAATGAAAATAAGCTCCGAGGGATCAGGTGTTGCTCTGCTTCACAGGTCAGCATGGCCAGGGGTGCAAGAGTGGCTGGGGCCGGGCTCGCTGCTGCTCTCCGGGTTGCGGTGTCACCTTGAGCCCCAGGCAGAGAGCAAGGTCTCCCTGTGCTCTGCCCTGAGCATGGGGACAAAAGGAGGGGATAGCCATGGCGGAGCTTCCTCCTCCGTGATAAGACATGGGGGGCACCTGAGCAGACTGGGGGGCACCTGGGCATGGTGACAGCAGAGGCAGGTGGGTGTGCAGGCAGATGCTGGCTTTCTGTACCCTGCTGTCACGGGGCTGCTAGTCCGGACCTGCAGTTCGCTGGCAGAGCTGCACCAGCTCTGTGTTTGAACTGGGGCATGAGGGAAGGATGCTGGGGTTGGGAGTGCAGGAGACATCATCAGCAGCAATGTCTCCTGATGACCACCAGTCGGCTGCTGCATAGCCCCCCTGGACCCGGCTTGCCCGGGTTAAGAGCTGGCCCTTCAGCAAGGCGGTGCTGCCAGCTCCCCTTTGCCACAGTAAATTCAGTGCCAGTGCCTGCAAATGGTGCCCAATTCATGATGCAGGTTTGGCCTCAGAGCCAGCGTCCTGCTGGCGATGGTCAGCCCCGGGCGTGGGACACAGGGCTGGCTGCGTGGACCCGTTGCCTTAGCGGGAAAGCCAGCAATGAGATGGATGTAGGTCACCTCTGCAGCAAGCTGTGACATAACGGGGTGGGTCTGGGAATCCTCCACAGTTCAAACCCACAAACGTAACCACACCCGGTTACTCCATGAGCTGCACTGTGTGGGCTTTCAGGGTGCTGCTTGCTCATACACCCCAACATCCCACACCCTGATTCCCCTGCTGGCAACGCTAGTGGAAAGCTAGGTTTTTATGGGGTTTCCCTGAGGCAGGAGAGAAGAGGGTCTCACTGCCTGTTATTTAGGAGCAGGCAGGAGTGTGTGGGGCACCCAGCACCATGACGCTTGGGGTGTCATGGCCAGCAGCACCGCTGGGAGCTGTGCCCCCCCTGCCACTGAGATCCCATCAGTGACATCTTGCTGACGAGGAACTGTTGCTTAGTTTCCTTCCTCCGTTTTGGGAAATCTCAGCCTTTTCTCATACTTGGAAACCCCAAGTCACATGTTGGAGGCAGATCTTTGCACCCCCCTGCTGGTTTCCCCTCTGCCCCCGGAGAGCAGTGGCATCTAGGTGGGTCTGGGAGGCTCCCTGGTGCTTTTGGATCACAGGTCTCTGCAGCTGCAGGTTTGTTTGGCAACGTGTTATTGTGGCTCCACTGGGTGAATCACATTGCAGAGCCTCCCGTGGCAACAGCCCCTGTAGGGGGTACATGTATGGTACAGCCTTTTTACTGCGTCCCAAAAGGATGGATGAGAGCCCAGATCCCAGCGTGGCTGAGCCCAGAAGCAGTGGTGGGGCCCCTTGGCTGAGGGCATTTTGGGAGAGATGGGGGAAAAACAAAGGGAATGGCCTCAAAGATTTTAAAACCAGATATTTAGAGAAAATAGCTTCCTTGCTGAGTCTTATGAGGCCAGCGACTCCTGCCAAAGAGGAGCGGAGGAGCTGGGTCTGCAGCATCGGGGCTATCCCATGGTGGCAGGGTCTCCCTGGCCTCATCCAGCCCCGCTGCCTCAGTGCGCACGGAATCATCACACGAGTGACGACATTTCTTTTTGCAGCCCCTGATGCCAGCTCCCTGCGGCTGTGCCGGGCAGAGGTGTTCGTGGTGCTGGGGCAGCACCCACAGGCGCTGGAGGACCTGGAGGCTGTGTGCAGGGCTGAGCCTGGAGAGCATGAGGTGAGCGGAGGGGAGGCCCCACCGGCCGGCTGCGCTTGGAGCCAAATCTTACTGTATGGGAGCAGTTTCCCTCTTTCCTGAATTATCCTGGCCATTGGGTTCATCCTGCTCAGAAATACACTTGCCAAACCTGTTAAGTCGCCAGTCCAGGCGGCAAGCGCTGCGTTGCACTAATGGGAGAGGGCCGGCGACGCATCCGTCCTTGCTGGCATGCAGGCGGTGAGGGCACGTAGCCATACTGGTGCGCAGGATCGCAGCTGAGGGCTCGGGGGAGCGTTGGCCGGAGGCTGAGCTGCCCTTGGAGAAATCAGCCCTGGAAGCTCGCTTGCTGATTTGTGAAGTGCTCGTTGGCAATAGTTTTGCAGCTTCAAAGGCAGAAGCCCTTGACTCCTTCTCTAGGTCTCTGTAGGGTTTGCTTGCTTGGCTTTTGCAACTGCTGCATTTTGGAAGAGTCCTGTTTTATGGGTACCTGGCTGCGGGTGGGCCTGGTGGGCAAAGAGGACGAGAGCGTGGGAGCAGCGACGTGTCCGGGTGCTTTGGCCTGGGATGGGAGCAGGCAGGAGGCTGGAGGGAGATTCCCTCGAGGCTTGCATGGGAGCTGAAGGGGCATGTGCTCAGCTGGCCACTGTCTTGTAGTCACCGCAGGTTTTTCTGCTCTGCAGGGCTTCTTCAGGAAAGGGAAGGTGCTTCTGGAGATGGGACAGAGAGCTGAAGCTCTGCTGGCATGGGAGCACTGCCTGACACTCAGTCCCCATTTCCACCCTGCTCGGAGAGAGATTGAGAAGGTGCGTGGGCTGTACCATGGCAGGGTCCTGTGCCCTCACATCACACAGGGAGATGCCCTTGTCCTCTGAAGGACTCACGTCCATCACAGTTGTGCTGCTCTGGCCAGCACTGGGATCAAGTGAAGTCAGGTCCTGGTCCAAGAGCCTTCCCATCGCTCCAATGCAGGTCCACCCATGAAGAAAACTCCCTTTTCTCAGTCCGTATCTTCAAGTCTCAGGTTTTGCAGGGTTAGATGCTGACCTGGCATGAGGTGAACTTCGAAGTAAAATCAGTAGTCACCCAAGGCAAAGCAGCTGGCTGAAAGCTGCCACTGGACAGTCAATGTCCTTTCTGCAGATAATTTCAGGCCAGCACCCACCCATGTACCAAAGTCATCATCACTGGTGGGGCCTCTGGGCATGGGGACTTCATGCCAGGAGGGAAAGGGCAGGGGAATGGCAAAGGACTGTGTACCCTCCACAGCTTACTCCCTTCCTGCTCTTTGTGGGTGATGGAAAACATGGGTCCTACCCCTTAAAATACACACTTTTGTTTGCTGCCTTGTGCTGTTTTCTTCCTTAGGTGCTGCTAAGGCATTCGTCTGACTGAGAGCTCAGCCAGCACCAATAGAAGTAACGCCGACGTGCCCTGCGGCGAGCGGGAAGCTGCTTTGGGGAAGGAGGGGGCCTGGCAGCCCACCAACCTCCCTGCTTCCTTCTGCTGGCACCCCCTGAGCCCCGTGTTTCTCCTTGCAGATCCTCACGCAGGAGGATGCTCCTCAGCCACACACAGCTGCTGTATGCCCAGGTGATGCTCACCAGGGCTTGACTGGTCCTCAGGTTGATGGAGGGAGCCCTGCGCTCCTGTTGTCTTCCACACAAGCTCAGGTGAGAGAGTCTGTGACGATCTGTGTCTGTGATGGGACTTAATGTCCCTCTGGGACATCCCAAATTGGGGTTTTCCAATGATGGGAAAGGAGGTGTGATAATGTGGTTGCGTGCTGGGATGAGAAGCTGCAGGTAGTGGAGGGTGGGAGAGCAAAGACACCATTGGAGCTGATACTGCGGAGACTGGGGAAACAGAGGAGGCTGTTTCTGTCTCTGTTCTCCCAGTTTTATTCTGCAATACTTCTGGTAAGATTTTAGACTCTCATTGTGTTTAAAACAACCAAGTCACACTATGTTCAGCAAAAAAAAAAAAAAAAAGTCAATTAAAATTTTTTTTTTTAAATCCAACCCCCACATTTGAGAACAGTTCAGATCATTAGCAATCATTAAGGAAGGCTCATCTTTTGGTCTTTGGCTTCTATAGACGAATTTGGCAGGTTTGGAGAGAGGGGAAAATCAGAGAAAATGGGCTCAGGTACATCCAAATACCAGGTGGTGCATCTGGACAGAGTAAACCCATGTTTTAACCGTGAGATGAGCAGGGATGTCTGTGAAGGCCACGCTCTCCTGCTGTCCCGCAGATGCAAGATGTTAATGTATGCACAACTCCCAGTGCCGTCGGGCTCGGTGGGGTGGATGGGCTGTGTATTCAAAGGGAGAAGAGGTTTTGGGCTTGATTTCAGCTTCGCTGTGTCTAGGATCAGGAGGGAGAGCCAGCGGATGGCAGAAGGGACGCTGGGTCTGAGCACGGCCGGGGCACAGTCACCCTTTCCCAGCCGGGGTGGCGGCAGGAACCAGAGACTTTGGCAGAGAGGCAGGGCTGGCGGTTGGCAGGTGAGTGTTGTCAAAGGTACCAAAATTTCATCTCATGCAAAATACTTGTTTAAAATCCATTTTGGCACTGAAAACTTAGTGTTTGTGCCGTGTGCCAGCTCAGCGAGCAGAGATCCCAGGGGCAGCTGATGGGGCAGCTCTGGCCAGCACATTTGCTGCTTCTCCTGCATGTGGAGGATCCCGTCTTCCTGTGTTGAGCTGGCGAACATACACCAAACCTTTGGGTGTCACTTGGTGAAAAGTTCTTGCTAAAGCCAGACATCACTCGTTGCCTGTGTAGAGCCAGGGAGAAACTTCCTTTGGTTCCCGTGGGGTTTAGGTCAGAACTTAAATTCCTTTGCGAGGGACACAGCATCCCATGCATTGGGGGAAGCAGCATTAACCTGCCATCAGTGTCCAGCCAGAGGGCTTCCACATATGTGGGTTTACATAAAGCAGTGACGATGCCTTGGGGCAGGTCTCCAGAGGCTCCATCTGGGAGCTTCTTAGGCCACTTCACCTCCCAGTGCCTCAGTTTCCCTGCCTGAGGAGGTAGGGAGATACCACCTTCCTCTACCAAGTACCATGAGACCCACCGATGGGAAAGCTATGGATGAGCATGGGTGGCTTAATAGGGGGGGTTTACATCACATTTCCTAGCAGCTTTGTTTTAACCTTCAAAGCACTTTGTATAGCAATTAACTACTTACACCTCAGAACTAGGTCAGTAAGCAAAGATTAATTTTCAGTATTGAAATGGGGGGGGTCATCTTCTCTTTCCTTCTCTTTTGCCTTTAGATAACGAAGAGGAAACAGCAGCATCAAAGTGCACCCAGACATGCCTCGGGGAGCTGCTGACCGTGTCTGACTTGGAGTGTTCCCTTTGCATACGGTGAGTTCTCCATCAGGAGAGCTTTTAGGAAGAAGAATTAGCACCTGCTGGGTTTTCTTTCTTGGTGTGGATCTTTCTTCACATCTTAATAGCAAACTCAGTCCCTAGTACTGCTGAAATGCAGGTGTCAGTAGAGATGACAGGTAAGAGGGGAGGCCAGGGGCATGCTTTGCCCTGCCAGGCTGCAAGGGCTCAGGTGTCTCAGGGTGCAGCATCATAGGGTCCATATCGCTTGGGACCTCCGA